AAAAAAAAAAAAAAAACGTCCTGGCGACCTTCCGTAATTATATACTGTGTTATGAGGATTTACAAGCAATTAGAATGATGTTTATGCTATAATTACCTAGTGATGGATGTCCATGACTCTTAAAGGAGTAACATTCACTGCTCTTTTCCATTATTTTCATAACTCTCACTGCTTCAATACTTATAGAGTTATGGTTGTAACTCTCGTACCTCCATAACATCCCCATAATCTTATTCCATAATCTCAAATGTTTAATGTTATGTTTATGACATCCTTTTGTATACTTCTATGTAATACTATAAATAAATAGAGGATGAGAAGTGATATTGTATACATTTGACATACTTGAGTACATTGAAGAAATAGAATCTCTCCTCTCTTTCTCTTTATATCTTTTATCTATTTTCTTGTTTTATATTATTACTTTGAGCTAAGTTTTGTAACATGTTATCAGCAAGAATATAAACACCGAGTGGATGAGCCTTTATTTATTTTTGTTCTGTCGCCGTTGGATTCCTGCTCTAGGCACTCCAGTTTCATTCCTAGAAAAATACAAAGGTAACACACGTTATGGTGAGTTATGGTAAAAGTTATGGAATGGTTAGAACCATTAATTAAGGTTTGTTTCTTTTAACACTGAGACTTCTTTCACCATTGGTATTGTTTGTCGATGCTGTTTGTCATCGTATGATTTCTTTTCTTCAAATTTATATTTTTTGGGACTTTCGCTTCTAATGGGTCAAATAAATGACCGAATATAATCTTTCAATAGGTTATAAGTATTATTTTACAATACTAGTTATGTAACATGTCAAATCACATAGTTAAATTGTTACAAGAATTGCATGATATAGACCTTAGTGTAATAAAAGTATTCATATTAACCAGTATAGTTGCTACATGCATTTAGTACATTTTAAGTCATGCTAATTAACATGTATAATTTCATGATGTATACCATCACTACTACAAAAAAGGTCTTTGGCGGCAATAAAAAAGGGAATTAGCTGCAATAACAATAGCCGCTACATTACTTACCGGTCATTGATCTTTAGCCGTTGAAGCCAGGGTCGCTAAAGCCTTTAGCGGCATTTATCACAAAAGCTGGTAAAAGGTATGACTTATTGCCGCCAAATATAATTTGCTTTAACAACAATTGTTTGCGACTATTATAATGCATGTTAAATCTAAACTAAAACAGCTGCTAATGCTTTTTTAGTGTCCATTTTTATAGCCACTAAATTCAAAGAAAAATTGTCGCTAAAAGTCCATACCTTTAGTAGTAAATGTTTTGTGGCAATTAAAATGACTATAATATCCCTTCTGAAAACGTATTAGTATGCCCATTTAGTATTCATTTTAATGGCTAGTAAATTCAATTAAATTGCCGCTAAAAGTCATCTTTAGCAACAATTATAATGGCTACAATATCCCCTGCGGAGATATCACAATTTGCCCTTTTATAGTCCATTTTTATAATCGATAAATTCTGTTAAATTGGCGCTAAAAGTCACAAGCTATAATGACAATAGTTTAGCCACCATTAATAATAGCTAATACATTCGTTCAAACAAGGTTCCAAATAACAAAACATACTAATATTAATTCATAAAAACATAATGTATCTCATTAAATTTTAACAAACAAAAGAAAGTACTAATCCAAAATATTACTACCACAGTAACTCAAAAAAACTTATACTATTTGAAGTAAATAGCTAATGTCATTATATGACTAATTCCAACGAATAATAATCTTCAAGTAATATTTGCAAATTTTCATCATATTGAAATTTTTGACCAGCTAAATTATCGATCATCAGACTGTATGACCTGAAATTATAAAATAACTATGTCAATAGATGAAATATATGAGCATTGTAGATGTACGCATAAGCAAGCAAATCTTCTTCAACTAGTAGTCACTAAATATAAAAGGAATGCAAGCTAGAGATGATCACACCAATGTAGAAAGCAAAAATATATAAAATTTATGCAAGACTTGGCGGGATTTCACTTAAGAAGAAGCTATAGATCTTCTGTGAACCTCAATTTTTGTGTTGTTAAAACACTGCCCAAGCTATAAATAAAACTTACTGTAGAATAACAGTTTAATTTTTGGTCTCAAAACCAGCTCAAACTATCTAAATTTTCCAGTTGAATTTCAAAACCTAATGTTAACCAACTAGTTTAAAGCTTCTGTATATTGAAAATAATGCAGGAGAAACTAGTTCACAACTGAAGATTACTACTCCGCTAGCTTTCAATGAAGAACCAGTTCATACAATCCAAACAAAGATATAATAACATACAGTAATCTTAAGTAATTCTACTTTTACTAACTAAAGTTAAAACATTTCACTGACCAACAGTCTGCAGAAACTTGTATTTTCTTATCACAAGTCATGACTACTCTCGCAAATAAAAGGAAGAGAGAGCAAGAGGATTTTGGGGACGATGTGGGGGAAGAGTAGGTCGGGAGCAATACTCATTTCTTAGAACGATCAATTTAACATGCTTGTTTCTAGTCATACACTCAGAATGTTTGATAAATTTCATGATACTCAACCCTTATTCTGGATTTAGGACAGCAGAAAACACATATATGCTCAGCTTTTGGTCCAAACTTTGCAGTACATCATAGTTATGAATGAAATAATAGGCAGTTATTAATACAACTAATATTGTAGATGTTTTTTCTATTTCGTAGTAGCTTTCAGTATTCATACATATCAGATATCTATATTTTTGACTGACAAACAAGATTAATCATACTTTCAGGAGCAAAGAAGTTGCTCAGTTAAAAAGATTTGAACATTTAGAGATGGGTATATACAACATTCAATCAGATGTATATGAACATAGTAGATAAAGTAGCTTTGATTAGAGACCTACTGACAGTGGGAAGTAGAAGAAGCATTTTTTTAAGTAAGGAAGGTTTGTTTTATTCTATTTAAGAAATTAACTCAGTTAACAAACCTTTTCCTCAGGAAATGTCTTTCCAGCAGAAATCTCCCTGTTTAATTGGAAAGAGATGTAAGAAGTTTGAAAGACATGTAATAATATTTAACAAATGAATAGATGAAATCTTTAAAGGAAGAAGAAAACGTTCGGGCAAAGATATACTAAGATCATAAAAGAAGATTTTTTAATGATCTACAGTAAAAAAACTAAAACAGTAGTGAGCTAAAGGATAAAGATGAGTAGTACCGTGAGAAAGTGAAGTATTTTCTGCAATAATAGGTATAATAACTTATACGGTTAAGCACTTGAGAGATGCTCTGAAATCTATTGAATAACAGTATCATGAAAAAATAACAGAAAGCAAAAAAAGTATATATTTCAACATTAAATATATGTCAACAGGTAAGTTTTTCCTAAAATATGGAGATGTTGGAGATTTATTACATCAATGCATAAATTAAGCTATAGATGGATCATATTAAACTTATTATTCTTAAAATAGGAGGTACTTAAAATGTGAGAATGTTATAGGTGACATTTAGACTTAAAATAAATGAAATCTTCATATATCAATTAATAGTTCTGTTTCATTTTTGATAATCTTATTAATTTGTTCTTTCACTTGAAATATTTTCTAGTTTATTGTTCGTGTATATTAATTAATTTGTTATGTTCTACTTTGCACACTCACTAACCACTGACAACAGTGATTGCTCAACCAAGTCATTCACATAATACAAAGATCAAATGGATTACCAAAAACAATACCTAATTAAAACAAACAATATTTATCTTTCTAGTCTTGTCACTAGTACATTTTCTGTACAATGGGTAAAAAAGAGAGCAAAACTTATTCACCGCATTTAGGTTGTATGTCATTTCTCTTAATTTAATTTGTGGTTACAGGTTCGTTGCAGCTAAATAAAGGAAACTTCCTATCATTTAACAAATTGAAAGAGATTCAACTAGTGTTAAAATGATGAAAAAGACGGAGTATTGCAAAACGATAAGTGTCCTACAACAATTCAACTCTTTGGAACCTACTGATAACTTAATGAAGGATTTACCCATTTTGGCTCTCCTCTGCTCGCAATTTGGAGTAAATTAGATTGAGTATTATCTTGTTGACATGAGAGCATCATTAAATTTGTGGCATCTCTTGGTTATTTTTAAGTGTAAGGCTAAGCAGAGTAAATTATTGGTGGGTGGTGAGTGGTGAGTGGTGACTAATAACAAAGGTGACCAAGCTTATCCATACACTTTGCAGTCCGTTGTTCTAATTCAAGTACATGCTTAGATTAAATAAATGATGTTGGGACATAAATCTTACTTTTGTAACCTGCTTACACACTTCCTGTCGTCAATAGTGCATGTATTCCTAAGGATTCGACTAAAAGAACTAAATTTGGTCATCAATGCCAAGCACTCCAAGATGCGAGGCTTAGATCAACAAGTTTATCTTTGGCTGCAAAAAAGGAGGAATGAAAAGTGCCAACATTAACAGAATATCCCACGGAAGAATACATTTTTGAGAGCAGAGTGATTCAGAGAATGGATCTCTTGGTACTTAATACACTGGAATGGAGAATAGGGTGTATCGCTCCTTTTAATTTCATAAATTATTTTGTATCAAGATTTTGCAAAAATGATTCAAGGAAATGTGTGATCTCCAGAACTGTGGAAATCATCTTTTGTGCTCTCAGAGGTAATTTTGATTTCTCATTCAAAGTCTAGTTTTCTGATTTAGTCAATAGTGATTTTTTTAACCATTAAATAGATATAAAGTTAATGAATGTGAGACCATCAATACTCTGAAAGGCCTAACCAATCACAAAGTTATTCTCTTCAATGAACATGGAATTCACATATTGCAGTGAACTTTATTTCATAGGCAAAACTCCAATCCATTATAATCTAGGAAAATAACATGAAGAATTCTAATTGACACTAGCGCAACTGTCAAATACTAATGAGTTTTTTACAATGCAGGACTGAAGAATGAGATGCTGAGAGTGCAGAACTACTTGGTATAAGAACCACCTGTTTATTAGCTTATTTCTTCAGAAAAAGAATGACTATCAAGTGCTAGATAATACTTAAGCGAAACTTGTCTTAACATCGTTTGTCTTTCTAGCCTTGTTTGAAGTACATTTGTTTTTGTACACTGGACACAAAAGAAAGCAAAACTTACATACATCATCTACGGTTGTGGTGTCCTTAATTTAATTTATGATTGTAGATTTGTTCCAGCTAAATAAAGAAAGACTAATACCTAATAAAGACTTTCTATCACTTAACAACCTGAAAGAGATTGAACTACCGGTAAGATGATGAAAAGACACAACCTTGGGCCACCTAAATGAGTATCATCATTGATCTTGGGACTAAATATTACTAGCTCCAAGTGAACATTTACCATACGAGCTACCCAAACACACACATGATGTTTCTGTCACTTAAGAAGTAAACAAATTCTCGAAGCCAGCTTATGTCATTTGCTTACCAAGGAACAACTCAATACAACTATCTACAAGGAAGATAGGTCTTTCAGAATCCAATAAGAAAGTCATAATGAATTTTGCTTCACGCAAATCCTTGGCACCTTGTTTGGATAATTGAGTGAAGGCAAGGTCTACCAATAAGCAAAAATGCAAAAGTAGTTCTACTGAAGAATTAAGAGGACCTTCTCGGACATTTGATGCTACGTACACTACATGATGCATAAATAGTTTGAAAATTCGAATATTGATCTACATTATGAGACAAAGATCGTAGACTAAATGTGCTTTTAACACATTAGACAATTATGATGTAACCCCATTAAAGCTAAAGGAAGCTCCAAATTGTAATTACCTATTTAGTTCACAACATTTTATCTGCTCCTACCTTAGCACTACCTCTCCTTTCCCAAAACCATAAAAAAAGGGAACGAATGATAATGCTCGATATAATACAGATATCATAGTCATCTGACTAAGAAGGCATTGATAGATCGAATCTAATTTTTATCAAGGGGTATTCTTGCTCTTACATTTATTCAGTTGTTGTTTCATGGCACCATTTGCAGACAGTGAATGGCCTCTTAACTACAATCTCACACCAACAACCATTCTAATAGTGCAAGGCTCAAAAGAGACCAACTAAGTATTCAGATGTTATATTCATAAGTTTTAGCATTACAACTTACAACCTACTTAAACAAAATCATTCTATTCCAAAAGTTGTGATACATCAAATTAAATAGAAATATGCGCAAGTGGCAAGTATATCCGTAGCATTAGCAGCTCAATTAGATACATCACAAAATTAATAGAANGGCACCATCTGCAGACAGTGAATGGCCTCTTAACTACAATCTCACACCAACAACCATTCTAATAGTGCAAGGCTCAAAAGAGACCAACTAAGTATTCAGATGTTATATTCATAAGTTTTAGCATTACAACTTACAACCTACTTAAACAAAATCATTCTATTCCAAAAGTTGTGATACATCAAATTAAATAGAAATATGCGCAAGTGGCAAGTATATCCGTAGCATTAGCAGCTCAATTAGATACATCACAAAATTAATAGAAACCAACAAATACACAAGTGTTTATAGAACATGCTTCACCGTGTTTAGAATTTTCCCTACTTACTAAAACTAGTCAATTCATTGAGGGTTAGCAGGCTAAGGGACAAAGAAAAAGGGAGTTGCGCTCCCTCATTTTTTGAAGCTTTAAGTTATCCAGATTGTTGCTCTGCGTGTAAGGTCATGTCATTGTCATTAGATTGCTACTACTAGTTCATTTAGCAATGAGAAGAGCTGCAACTAGTAACTCAGGAACTACATTGTTACCTACTGCATATGGATCAGATTTGCAACTATACATTGTGGTTCATAAACCTACTACATAAAGGCAGTTGGAACTGCATCCGAAATAGAAGTTGCAGATACCCTGACAACAGTGAAAGGGATATGCAATTTACCACCAGCTTCAATCACAATACCATTCTAAGAACCTCAATTTGGAACGTGAAACAGATTCAATAACAATACCTCTCCATAGCCACAACATCTTTTCTTTCCCCTCCCAAATACACTAAAATATAGCAGATTTGCATTGAAGACATAATATATATATATATATATATATATAAGCAAACGGAAATTTATTTTCTGTTGCTAGTTACACTATATAAACCAGTTATCACTATCAATCAGAGAAAACAATAAAAACAGCTATCAATCAGAGAAAACAAAAAAAATAGCAGCAGACAAAAACAACAATAGAGTAATAGAGGAAGAATCAATTCAATCAATCGACTATCAATCTAACAGCAGGCAGATATCACAAACAACTTAGCAAACACAAAAAAGCTATACTTTCACAAATCCCAAAACGCCATAGTTGGATATCAAAAATTAGAAATTGGTACTTGGTAAGCAGAATTTCTTGCCGATAGACAAGAAATTGTAGGAGAAGAATGATTTCTGCAATAATCTTGAAACCTACACAAAAAGAGAAGTTTGAAACGGATGAGAAAGAGAAGGTTGACAACGACGATTGAGAATATTCGAGCAGCATCAACCCAAAATCAATTGTAAATCGATTTCAAGAAACCTGCTAGGTAAAAAGAGAAGTTACCCAGGGATGGTCGGAGACCGTGGCAGGGCGGAGACTGTTGCAACAATATTCTTAAGCACGTAGGTTTTGCTACGGCGTGCCTCACTTTCAATTTTTTTTCCTATGGCGACTGGCGTGCGTCCTTCAAATTAAAGAGAATATGTTTTCCAATTATTTTCTAATCAGAAGGAAGTCCAAAAATTGGAGGGAAAGATTTTTTTTGGTACGGAGAGAAAGTTAAAATAATAAAAAAGTTGATTTCAATTAGTGCTTTTTAGCAGTAATTTTTTTTATTGCCGGTAAAAGTATATCTTTTACTGGCTAATGATCATGTGCCGCTAATATTTCAGCTTAAATAATTCATTAGCGACAATTACACTATTGCCGCTAAATAATTGCCGCCAAAGACCTTTTTTGTAGTAGTGCATACACTAACTGGATATATTGACAGTTTAGATATATTTTGGTATTATATAATTTATGATTTTTGTCAAGTTATTATGATATATTTATATCATATTCGTGCACCACTTAATTTGTTTCATTCAAATTAACGAACATGATATTTGCGTTGAGTAATAGAGATACCAATGTCCAATTTTTGACCGATACCACATTTATTAGTTATGTAGTGTAGGTATTTTTATACTATTAGTTCGTATGAAAACTGTAAATATGATACTACTAGAGTAGTAATTGATTTTATGCTTGTAATCATTATAAATGGACAGTATTTTTTAAAGGCTTGAGGTAAGACATCAAATTCATGTTCTGATACATATAATGATAAGAGTTAGATTTGAGTCCCAACTCATTATGGCATAACATGCCTTTATATGAGTAAGGTATTGGGTTTGAGTCCTAATGCACCATATTGATGATATAATGATGACTAAAGAAAAATAATGTATTTTTCATGAAAAAACATGAAGTTTGTCCCACTTGATTTGCTCCATTCTTGAACTGAATGTGATAACAATGCATAATAAGTCTAAATAAAGACAAGTGATTGACCAATGAATGTGGGCGTGCCAAAGATCAAATAATAATAGTCATCATTATGGTAATCGTAAAAAGGAGAACAATAAGGTTTTTCAAAATGATCCTTCAAAGGTGAAGGAATATGTATCAATGTGGTCTGTTAATACGAGACACGTTCACATGATTATAGTCCATTCGTTGAAAATGTGACTTGTGATAAGCATTGTAAATGTAGGCTCATTCCTGAAAGTAAATGTTGAAATATATATGTGATCAAAATTATGCATAAGAATGTGCTTATGCGTGGTTGGATAAATACCACAACTCACCTCTAAGGGAGGTTTGAAAGAAATAAAGATAATGAATATTACAATGTGGTTATATGAATATGTCATTGGTCGCGTACATGTGGTACGTTAAAAATATTTTGTCATGCCTTATAAAAAGTTATTAAAGGCAAACATAAAGCAAGAACTGATTTTGCTTATGATGATTGACCATGACTATAATAATTTAATTTTTCTCCGTGAAGGATACATTTATCATATGGATGGTGAGAAAAAAGTCTTGTAGTACAAAATTAACTAAGAGCTCCGAAAAAATTAATTTGTTACTACTCAGATAAATGAAATTGCCTATGATATTGATGATTTAGTAAGTCTCAAAAGGAATTTTTGAGTTTCAAATATATTAGTCAAAGTGGTTGTCACATTGAGACTATAAATGAAAGAAAATTTGAATATCTTCATATTACTATAATCATACCGGGTAAATATGAAAGGTTACCTTATTTTTCTTCTATTTATACTACATATATATAAGCATGATGAATCACATGCCACAAGTAAACTAGAGGTTTACTTAAATAAATATTAGTTGGCATGACCGGTTGTCCATCCCAATTCAATTATGATGCGAAAATTAATTGAGAATCACATTGTCATATACTGAAGAAATAGAAGATTCTTCAAGAATTCTCTTGTGCTGCTTATTCTCATGATATACCAGTTAAGGTTGGGATTGAATCTCTTAAAATATGGAACGAATAATAGGTGATATATATATATGGGCTCAGTCACCTGCCATGTGGACCGTTTACTATTATATGAATTTAATAGATGCATCTATTCTATGGTCACATGTGTATTTGTTATTAACTTGCAGTTTGACTTTTGCAAGGTTGTTTGCTCAAATTATTAGAGCATAGTTCCAAATATAAATTATGACTATTTATCTTGATAATGCTGGTTTAAAATCCAAGTTGATTTAGCAGAAATTGTATGCTTCCATTTGTAGCTAAATCATTAGTTATGAGATGTATTATTTAATATAGAGCAACACTTGTACGCATCTAGACAAGTTATGATAAATTCTCTCCGCCACAATTGGTTCAGGGTCAGGAACTAAATAATTTCCATCTTGAAATATGGATGTGCTATATGATTTAATTGTGACATCACAATGCATAAAGATGGATTCCCAAAGAAGGTTGGGAAATGTATTGGTGATCCTAACATCAGGGGGGAGGGGAGAAAATGGACAGCTGAAACAATGATATGTGGAATGAATTATTGTGAATACATCTAGATCCTCGTATAAGAAAATGTGAACTTATGTGAACTTGAAGTTCAACTGATAATTCATTTCCAAAATATTTCTAGGAGCATTTGCTGACCCAAAGCTAAATATCATATTTCAATTGTTAATGCTCCAAGTCCACGATGGACAGAGTTTATGACACGCATAAAGCGTAATAGACTAATCGATTCCAAAGATAAAACTCCTTGAAGAAGGAGAGGAGCAAATGTTCAAGATGGTCATAATACGGAGGCAAGTGCTTTATAGGAACACCATGACATAACACGTTATAAGACCTCATTGGAGAAGCTCAGGTACCTGAAAATAATGAGATCTCGATAAGTTATGTCTTTATTGTGTGATGATGGAACCAATGTAAAATGATCGTCGACGATGTTGTTAATATAATATAACGCTCAATATTATTAATATTGATGAGGATCTTGAGCTCAAATCTGTCATGGAATCTGGACAGATAAATTATTGGCCAAATAAAAAATATGCAATGAAAATTGACTTCATATGAAAAGTATGAAGTTGGACGGATAGTCCCAACAACTGAAAGTATAAAGGCTATATGGAGATATTGAAATATGATTAGTATTATATTGCAAAAGGAATCCTTGATATAGATTTGTTTATTCTAACAAATATTGTCAAGGTTTTGTTGGTTATACAAATGCAGGGCATAGTTTGTTGTTCAAACAATCTATTTTCATGTGAGGATAATGCCATATTATTATTCTACAAGGTAGTTAATTTTTGATACTTATTCAAGTCATGCCAAGATAAGCCACTGATAAAGCAAGTGACTCAACACACAACAGACTTGTGACTTTTCTTTGAAGAGAAGATTCCAATAAGACTGAAGATAATGTTGTTTGCTTATCTCAATTGGAAGAAGGATATATTGAAGGCAACAAAATAAAGCACATTTCACCAAAGTTCTTTTCAGACATGATCTTCGACAGATTGGTGATATAGACGTTCAACAAATTTATTTGATTGATAATTTGGTGGATCTGTTCAATGAATCATTACCAGCCCCAGCATTTGAGAAGCTGGTATACGGGATTGGAATGCGTCATTTCCGAAAAGTAAAGTGATGTTTTCATCAGAGGGAGTAAGATACGCGTTGCACTCTTTTTTCCTTAGCTGAGGTTTTATCCCACTGGGTTTCCTAGCAAGGTTTTTAACGAGGTAGCAAACAATGCGTATTACAAGATATGTGTACTCATTTTCCTTTACTGAGATTTTTTTTCCCACAGGGTTTTTTTTCTTAGTAAAGTTTTAATGAGACACATTATCTATGGATATCCAAGGGGGAGTGTTATAACTAATTATCTAGTAGTGGATGTCCATAACTCCTAAAGGAGTAATACCCACTACTCTTCTCCATTATCTCCATAACTCCCACTACTCCAATACTTATGGAGTTATGGTTGTAACCCTCATACCTCCATAACCTCCCCATGATCTTACTCCATGATCTCAAATGTTTAATGTCATGTTTATGACATCCTTTTGTATACTTCTATGTAATACTATAAATAGAGGATGAGAAGTGATATTGTATACACTTGACATACTTGAATACATTGAAGAAATAAAATCTCTCCTCTCTTTCTCTCTATATCTCTTATCTATTTTTTTGTTTCATATTATTACTTTGAGCTAAATTTTGTAACAATTTATGCATTATATAAACCATTTAATTTAATTAATTGCAACTCTAAAGTTATAAAAGATACTTTTTCTAAGAAAATATTTTGTTTTCTATTTACCCTTCAACATTGAGTATTTTATTTGAGGTCTATGCTGTTAAATTTAAAATTATTTTTCTACCTACACTAAAAATAAAATGACAAAACAATGTCATAATTCTTTCATAAATAATCTCGCTCGTAACATTAATGCTAATTATTTTATCTCATCAAATAGAGTAAATACACTTTACTCCCTTAACCTTTAATAGTTAGAAAAAATACCCCTTCACCTTTTAAATGGGAAAGGAAACCCCCATTGTGCAATTTTTAAAAAAAAAAAAAATTTGTGCAATTGCTTTCCAGTGAAATAATAATTTTTTGAATAAAAATCTTTTTTCTTTTGGATAAATAATTTTTAGAATAACCAAATTCGTTCATTATAGCCAAAAGCTCTACATATGACATTAATTAGGATCTTATAATTTTTGGAGTGCTCTTTTAGCCTCTTCCTGCATAGTTTAAGTTCTGATGTGATGCAAAAATGCCTCCATAATGAATTTTCAAATGTGAACTTGTCAATTATAACTTCTGTTTAATAAAGATATTTTCAAAATAAGTAAAGTTCGATAATTGTTTAATATAATATTAATATACAAAAAAATACAAAACTAAAATATTCATAGCAACAATTCTTTCATCTAATATATATGTCATAGAATTAACTAATTCAATATATTTTCCCTTCTAATTGAAATGCTAAAGCATTCATGGTGGATGTGCGTTCAACAAATTTCTTGAATTTTGTATGCAATTTTTTTTTCTTTATTGCAGAAATTTTAACAATGACCTCAAT